CCCTCCAGCCCTCTCCCAAGCTAGTGGAGGATGCCCCGGAACAACTCTAGACTCAGGTCTGTTGATGCTAACCGGTATGGGTTCTGGAGCCAGCTGTGGGACTGGAGGCGGTGGAAGTGTTGCCTTCAGTCACATGACACCTCAGCAGCAACAACAACAGCAACAGCAATCACAGCAGCAACAACCTTTATTGGGAAATGTACCATCAACAATGCGAAATGGACCGGGTACGTACGTGGAACAAACGCTTATCGATCCGACCACTCACCGTGCAGCCCTAACACCGCACGGAACACATCTACCCAATGGGATAGCTTTACCTGCTATTCCCAACCGCACGGATGAAAACGAGCAGGAATGGTGGCCTTGGAACCCATCAAACCGACCGTATTATCCCCGTGACGGGCAAGCGGGGCATGAGTTGCTTACGGACCCAAATGGTGATCCAGTACATGGGTACGCAATCCATCAAATGCCCATGTACAATGGCTTAACTGGACCAAGTCCTGGAGTTGACAGTAGCACAATTGCCACCACAGCCTCGGAGTCACAGCTCATGTCTGCTCCTCCACCTACTCCGTNGCTCATGTCTGCTCCTCCACCTACTCCGTTAGATTCACGATCGCATTTCAGCGGTCTTTCTTCGGGAAATTCAACCAGTCTCTATTCGCGATCCCTACTCAGTGGAGCATCAAACTTGGGTTCGCCTGCAGGGGCACAAAACACAGCTGTAGAACAATCACCTACATATGGATTGACAAATGGCGGTGTACATTCAATTAGTCAGATGGATCGAATGCACTATCCAAGATGCGAACTCAAAGTGGAGGGCATACTGGGTACGTTCAAGTTAGAAAGACTTTCTTCGGACCAGAACTCATTTAATTTTTCTTTCCAGAAAAATAGTCATTTGCATGATCAGAAACATGGATCACTCAACCACATTGTACATTCCTCTAGTGAAGGTTTGCCAATGTGCCATTTCGTCTGAAGACATTGATGGTCATTGAGCAAACAAAATTTGGGACAAGCGGATCGGGCCGTGGACCTATTTTCTTCAAGGTTTCGGCTGTTCTTCAACATGTAGTATGGGAATGACTAGAATCATTTCCCCAGAAGTCTGCTACCAAATTACTGGTTTCTGTAGCCCGCTAGGCGTGCTTATCCCGCCTCTGTTATTTGCATACGTGTATTCGCGATATAATTTGCGGTACAACATTCTTAACTGGAACATAGATTTATCTTGATGTTCGTTTGAATTTGGCTTGTATCGAAATGAATCGCTAAGACACAAACAAGGTTATTTTAACCTCATTGGGTATTCCATGATCTGATCCGATATGAACGGATGCTTTGAACAATTTTCCCAGAGTCTGCAATCTCTAGCTTCATCAAACTAGGTCGCTCAAACTCGGTTTCAATCCTTCCTGTTCATGTTCATTCATTGTCCACCAACAGGGATGATGGAGGGCTGCATTCTACGGAAGAAGTTTGATTTTAAAGGTTAAACTATTTAACTTTGGTGTGCTTGCTCACTTTTCAGTCATCTTGAGTAGGCTATAGTTTTTAACCTACAGTTTTGGAGTGATACGGAGTCAAATACAAACTGTGCAATTAAAATGGCTTACCAGTTATCCGGAAAAGTGAACAGTCGTCATTCACAATCGATTAATTAATCGGAATAGGAAGGCATAGCAAAAGGGTAGCTGGAAACGTTCTGCAGGGATATGCATGTATCTGAAACCCCAATTTCTACTCCAATTGGTATATGTGTGGACTATCTTTCCAAATGGAAATGAAATACAATGGGTAGCATACTACTAATTATCAAAACCTTAAAAATCGGTCTTGATGTTTAGTTTCTTTTAGACTGAAGGTGTCTAACTGGCAAATCTTTTGCATCGAATAGCCTGAATAATTCTTCTACTGAAGCTTGTTTTGATATACCTGCGAACGAGAATACCGTTACTTTAGGGAACGAACTATGTTCGTCACAAAATATCACTGGTATATCTTAACTTAAAAAACAACAACTTGGAAAACCAAGCATCTCATTGCTTACAGACTTTCTAAGTAGATAGGATATGAGAAGTCGAGCAAAAAACCAGTTATATGTGAACAAACAAACGATTCGGCTCTCTAGGATCGGTACGAATTCACAAATATCACGGATGATGAGCATCTGCGTAAAACTATTTTGGAAAAACTTCTTAATTGTTGGCATAATATCGGATAAATTCTATTTGTTTTTCGCACGAAAGCTTTGACTGATTCTATTTACTCTGCTTTTTGCTGCTCTAGGGTTGATGAAATAAACTGATCATCTGGGTAGTTAGAAATTCAATTAAGCTGGTTTTTATCAAAGGTAACGGACGATAACACAGAATAGGAAATGTTTACCCCTTTGCTGTACTGTTTTTCGAATCACACTGGTCTTCTACTATTTATCCTTCGTGTTCAAATCGGGGATAATTCTTAATGGAACACTTTTCTGATTTCCGTTTTCGATCTGTTTTTCTTCCGAATGTTTCAGGAAAAGGTGAATTTGGAGACGTGTTCTTGGCTCGAGCACGGCACATTCAAGAAGAAGAGGCTCAATCATTGGTATTAGTCAAATCGTTAGCTTCTCTTGAACCGTTACACATTAAAGAGTTCCATCGCCAACTGGAGCTGTTCGGTAAACTCAATCACGATCGGGTGACAAGACTGCTGGGCATTTGCATGGAACAAGAGCCGTTCTATATGCTTTTGGAATATTGTGAATGGGTAAGCGGAATGAACGGTCCCCAACCCCCGTTGTTATATTTCCATTCAGATTGTGGGATTTGAATCATCTCGAGTGGCATAAAGATTTTATAAATTCAAAACCACTTTAAAACGCTGTTTATTAGTGACTCGTTTCACACGGGAATCATCTGAAATTTTCCCACGAATTCGGTTAAACGTGATGGAGTGTAATTGTGTTAAGGTAATACATATATTTTTTGAAACTTCGTATATATGATGACTTGTTGTTAATCACCCCCAGAAAAACAAATAGTAATCTTATGTCGGAATCGTGTACAGACAAAAAAGTGAAACAACATCGGAATAGCAAGAAACCATTGTGTATCCATTTCATCGCTGTTCCCTGTTTCCCACATCGAAGGAAGTCAACCTCAATCATTGGAATAGCTCAGTGTAAATTTTACTCACTTTTTCTCGTGGGACCTCAGATAAAATCACCATTGACGTCGATGAAGTAATCTTCATTCTACTAAATAAGGTCAATATGAACGTACAGCGGTTTCCGGGTTCTCAATTCTAGCTTACTCTCTTAGATACACAACGAAGTTGGCCCAGAATCATCTCCTGCATGACGATACAAAACTTCATAAATTTACAAATCCACACAACACAGACAGTATTTAACATCGGTTCTCATAGCTCGGGTGAACTGCATTCCATTTCGCCTGTTTGCCGAGCTTGGCAATTTGTTTGCCAGCGTTTCATCACCAACCGTAATGACATCGTCATTGCGTGTGAAGTAACACTGACGATCTCACCTCGGCTGGTGATAAAACGCTTTCAAACAAATTACCAAGCTCGACGAACAAGCGAAATGGAACACACAAAACTGCTCCGGACAGAACAAATTATCATTGAAATCCTCTTTTACAAAATTATTACCAAACATTTTGTTTCCCTATTTCTGCTTTTAGCGAATTTTTGTCTATCTACTCATCCAATACTAATAGATTAGTCAACTAAATGAAAGACTGCGAAGATGGTAAATTTCTATTTTGGGTTGAGAATCAATCATAGGTTCTATTTACCGTTGGAGAGCGTATCAGTTACTGAACAGTGGAAAACCATCAGGGTGGCAAACCCACATATTTTGTGACATTTTTAAATCACCACTACCACCACCACCATCGCAATCATCACCAGCACTTCTATATAGTAACAATTAGGTTGCCAGTCTCTGTGATGGAATAGTCGAGTTTGTTGATCATCCATTATATCGTTTATCATAATTGACTGTGTAGTATAAAAAACGATAAACTATTAGATCCGTTTACTTGAACAACATACAACTGTCTAAGAAATGTTCAGCTATCTTTTTTTAGTACATCTTGCTAGGTGAGTGAGGTCACAGAAATTCACCGAGTCTTCAACGTGAACCTGGGTTGATACATGAGCGTCTTTTTGGCCCGATCATTATTTTACTCCAATTCATTATCAGTCCGATTTGGGTTGGAAAAGTATGATCACAAGCGTCCTTCTCTGATCTTCTCCCACGCTTCTTTTTCTTTGATTACAGGGAGATCTGAAAATGTTTCTGCGACGTATACGAGAAGACAATGGCCAGACGTTCAAAATTCACTCGTTATCAATGGGACAAAAATTGAAAATGTGTGAACAACTTGCCGCGGCGATGGATCATTTAACTCAGATGCATTGTGTGCATCGAGACGTGGCTGCCAGAAATGTGCTTCTCACACAAGATTTGGATGTGAAGCTTTCAAGTCTTGGCTTAGCCAGAGACGTGTATGTGAACGAGTACTATCGCCTGCCTAACACGGAACAACTAATCCCGTTGCGTTGGTTCGCTCCTGAGCTGATAGCTGAGGCCGTTTCACAGTGCACGCGGACCGGGCCGGGATCGTCTAATCTTGGGTCGAGCAACGCGTTGCCCTATTCAACCCAGTCAGACGTATGGGCATTTGGTGTGCTTATCGCGGAGATCTTCTCACTTGCGCAGTTGCCGATGGCAAGACAATCGGATCAGGAAATCATCTACGCTGCGACTCAGACTATCCGAATGCAATCCAATAATTCGGGTGCCGAAGGAAGTCCACATGATTTGGTCCCACTCCGACCGGACGTGCCGAACGAATTACCCGCAGAATTAATCCCCCTGTTGACCAGATGCTGGTCCCCGATGGCTCTCAGTAGACCCTCATTCAGGGAGATTTTCGCCGCGTTGCGTGATCAGAAAGTCTGAACAATCAGATAATCCTCCTCCGCTCTATCTTGTCTATCAGTCTTTTTGTCTGTCCTTCCGTCCGTCGGTTTGTCTCCTAACCAACTAATTAGCCAGCACAACCAAATTTTAATCGGCGCCATGCGTAGGGCTGACTTGCTGGTCCACTTTCCCATTACTACACGCTTATCAACCGCTTTCCCGCTCCTTCGATTCATATTATATCAAAATCTGTATCGAATCAGTCACTCTATTCCTCAGGCGGGATAACAAAGCAAGTGGTTGGACCGCTCTTTTCATTTATGTGCTGGTCTGAAAATGTTGCATTAATTCATTATCGTTTGTGGAAGACTTGTTCAAACAAACGAACAAACACACACATGATCATTTCAACTATGGGACTTCAGGGTCTGTTTTCCCGATCCAATGCATCCACTTATTTCCTTCTACAATGTTCAATAATATCCTTTTCATTCTTCTTTAATTCAGTTTAGCTCTACTATCAATCATACACTCTCGAACCACCACCGTTCCTGAAGTACATACATATTACGCTGAAATATTTCAATAACTAACAACAAATTCACTAATCACGTCACATTCGCGTTCCCGACATGTCATGGAAACCTAACTGCCCGGGTTTATTGTAATATGCCGATTTGTCTTTTTCAATGTTCATATTGAACGATCTATCTCAAATGAGGTCTCTCACTCACTCTGTCGCTCAGAGACAGCATTTCAGTTCTTCTCTCCCTCCGTTCGCTGGCTGTCGGCAACTTTTTCTCCTCCGAGCCCCCGGTGTATGTCATCGAAACAGTCACATCTTCACCAACACCCTCTATCCTACTCTACCCCCCCCCTGCGACCTCCCCACACACACAAACAGCTGAGTCACTTCTTTTGTGCTAACCATTCAGTTCCCTTCACTTCTTCCTAGTATCTCCCATAATGGTTACAACGTTTGTTTGTCTAGGAACAAGCCATTCTTTCCCATCTGTACATTTATTTGTTTTTGAAAAGTCCATGAACTAAATCAGACATAGACAAAGCGCCCAAACTATCCTATCTCGGTTATTGCCTTTTTATTTCATCAGTCCTCTCAATTTTCTGTCTTCCCCTCTTCCACTCCTCTTTATCCTTTTTCATCGTCTGTGTTTTTGTCTATTCGCCCAGTGGCTTTTGACTGTACATACGCATACAAAGGTCTCAAAGGCGTATCGAAGCTTCTCCTTTCTTCATGATTTTTACCATTTTTTCTCTGACTCACGTGACGGCCAGTCGGTATTGATTTCAAGCCCCTTTTTTCTTTCACTTGTTCTAGGTAATTTTTTTCTCGTGTCCTCGAACATTTAAATTTACTCACGTGTCATCGGATGATGTGGTCAGTTCTTGCCATTTTCCTCATCAACCTTTCAAACTGATCTTTGTCCGTTTGTACCCGACAAGCACATTGTGGACAAAATCGAGTCTGCAGGGTCTAACTATTCATCTTTCTACCTATCTGTCACTTCCACTACTCATATGCATTCTTGTGCTAATATTCATTTGAACCCTGATAATCATTCATCATTTTTGGTTGTATAACTCCAAAATGTCAAATTTCCAGAGAATCTTTCTTTGTTTCCTTCATTTGAATTCTGATCTGTCCGACATTAGGCCTCGATAAGACTTCTCTATTTGATCCTTTAAAGGGCTATCGGATCATCGCAACAGTAAGCATCACTACTGCCCATTTTTGAGGTTTTATCTTTACCACTTGAATTACAATATCAAGCGCACACAAACACACGTATACACGGCAAGCAATTACACAACGCTCCGATCACGAATATACACATGGTGACTCACATTATCTCTAAGAAAACGAAGCCCAGTGACTTTCATCGACCGGTCTCACTGGATGAGAACTGTTGCGCCGTATCCATGAGAACTAGTGCATTTCAATTTTTCCAGTCCCTCGACCCCTTTTTTTGTCTGTCACCAATTCTCTTGGCCAAATTCTGTTACTCCACCAATCCCAACCTATCCTACCATACCACATCGCAGTCTCCAGCAATATCATGCAACCGCGCATCCCTCTTCCCAAACACACGCACACATCACATCATATTCCCTGCTCGCTGTGTTGTATGCATCTCCCGTGTACGAGTGTTTCTCAGACCTACTGGAAAGTGAATATATTCCCTTGAATTTACATACACACACACACACACACCTGATCTACCATCAACCACAACCACGACCCTTCTCTCTCTCTCGATCCTCCACTACCCACAAATTATTGCATCTCGTTACTCGTAAGCAATTTTTTGTGATTCGTTTGCATTCATAAATCGCATGAAATTCAACGTCTTTTACGCGGCAAGCCTATCCTACCTACGGGTTGGGTTCTGATCGCGGTTAAATTTAACAGTTTTCTTAGTAGACTGAGATCAGGATTACTAAGCAAATTGACCGACGCCAAGGAGGACCGTATCCGAACGCGTAATACTAATAAATATAAATGTACCGTCTGTTCAAGATTTATATCAAGAGAATCATCAAAACTTTATACCATCACTAAGAGAAAGACGGATGGACGGGAGGCATATTATTTTCTTTTTCTCATTTTCAATTGTTCTGGTTGATTCTCTAAAAGAAGTCCCATGTAGGTGTGAATCAACTCATAAGTCTGTCTAACTTCATCTCGGAAGTGATCTTTAGACAGTCGGATGTAAGAGAATCGTAAATATAGATGATCGAGAGTGGATCGAAGAATTTGCATGAGTTTCTCAAAACCATCTGTCAGTATGTATTGAAATTCCGTATTATATACCGAGAAATATGCGTGGTCACCTTATCATCAACTTCATCATCATATTCGTACGGTGAAATACAGTAAAGCGAACTTCACTGATCGCTACCCAACTCGCAATGTATTCAAGGTTTGTGGTAATATGTGAGGTGGACGGGGAATGGACCTATATTGAGCGAGGGTGGAGGAAGTGAACCTCTATGATCAAAATACAGAGTACACCATCTAACTGTGCATACATACGGTTGGAAGCAGTTTGACCTGGTAAGAAATGACAACAAGAATGTCATTGCTGTCGGTTCGCTACCATATCGTTTGATGTCTCCAACCAACTAATTGCAGAGTCCTTCGGCCCCCAGCCTGGAAGACGAGAGGCACCTACTCTACCTAACTGCTCTGTGTATTTCTTCATGCTTCTTCTCCACGTCAACTGTTGATCTTCACGTGGCTTCCTAAAGCCCGGAGCGGCTACAGCGAATAAAGCTCTGGGCAGCGGAAGACAGCTGAGCATACGCAATACGAACCCTAGCCAGACAATTCTATTAATCTGAATTGCATGAGCTAGCCAGTTTATTCCTGATAAACTCACAAACTCATGATGGATTAGCTCCAGATTACCAAGCCATTCGCTCCATCCCACATGAGCTAAGCTACGCAAGCACCGATAATCGAAATCCTCTAGTCGATAGATATCTTCAACTTGCAAATTCAAGGTCTCACAACCAAAAAGCAGAACTGAACGAACGGTGGTACCGTATAACCATCCTTTTAATTTTGGTGAAACGTTGCCTATAAGCCAAGGGCAGTTCAGTCCTGCGTACGCTGCTCAAGCCTTGGAAATCCAGGCGATTATCTCCTTTGCTGCGCTACCGTTAATGGTCACACAACTAACCAAGTAGGAAAACAAATCCACTCTGATTCCTGGTAATTTAGTTTCGAAGCGGGAGTAGGCGGCATCCAGTCTTGTAGAATCACCTTGCACCTAGAATGTACAAAACACGTACCGAATGTATCAACATCACTTGTTAGTCTTTCGTATGGTTTTTGCGCGTCCTCCATACATTCGAACAGACAGACGATGTCATCAGTGTACTCTTAATGGCACAGCATTTCTCCAGCTGTGCAATTAATACTCACGTTTTGGAGACCACATACTGTGTTCTCCAGTATTTCGTCTACGACGAAATTAATCAGGAATGACGAAAGACAGCACGAACGCCGCTGCTGATGACGAACGGCTTACTTATCTCGTTGTAAACCCTCCCTCAACCAGAGATATGTGAGGACACGGACCTTAATAAGTTAAAGTACTTCTAGGGCATTGCTTTTCGAAGAAGGGAACCCATCAGAGATTCGCTGTAAAGTGAGTCGGAATCTCCATTCAGGTCCAGGAACACTGCGATCGTTGGTCGACGATGGGTGTGACGCAGCTCAAGGACCTGACGCAACCCAAAGTTTGTTCAATAAATGCACGGCCAGTCCGCAATCCGGATTGCTGTTTAAGGATGTTAGTCTCTATTAAAGGAGTCAGAGGTCAAAATACGATGGAAGCTAGCACCTTGAGATCAAACTTATCCCGCGTTGGTTTCCACAATCGTTGCGAGATCCTTTCTTGAGGATGGGAACGATCAGTGAGTCTCCACAAGATGTAGGAATACACTTTGCATCCAAATGTTGTGCTGAAAGGTAGCAATAGAGTTTACGCGGCTATCATCCCTCATCTTGCAAAGACTGGGAGGGATTCTGTCCGATCCTGCTGTTTTTCCTAGTTTCAGAGCTTGAATAAGAGACAACTTTTGCCTCTGCCGGAGGACCACACGTCACTGGCCATGGAGCTTCATTTACAGATGAAGTAATCTGGCAAGCGCCTGGGCTGATATATTCCACCCAGCGATCATGCCGTTGATCCCTATTGTGAATAGCTTGCCCCGTTTCATCACAGATTGTTTCACTAACTGGATTTTACCGACCTCCTGTATTGCGTATCAGCCGGAACAGTCTTTGAATATTCACTGTTGCAGCTTCTACTTTCATTTCACTAGCTATTGTTGTTCACCAGTTCTCACGATGCTTATTGAGGCTATTCATGATCTGAATATACAGATGTCACCTACCCCAACTTTGGTCCCGGGTGTTCGAGATTTGCCGCTTTCTCTCCATCACTGCTACTGACTCGTGAGATATCCAATGCCTCAAACGGGCTTGAAGGCTCAGACCCACCAACACC